TATTACTGCCAAATAACACTTTTGTCAAATAGATTCAATATGACAGCATCATCATTAACATTGAATAAAAATGAATTTTTTTCGTAAAATATTTTATAAGGTCGCGCAATAACGGCGGTGCTTTTACACCGTTGCAAATGCGGCATCTTAAATCTTAAGCAAACGAATATTCATATTGCACTGTGGCATCTCATGTCACAATTAAAGACAAGTTGATAAACAGCACACGACCACGTAACTAAGCTCGCCCTGCGACAATCAAGAAAAACAACAAAACCACCCCCCCCCCCCCGAGCTTTCCGCCACAATACCCGTCAACAGAACCGAAGCATGCGAAATTGTTGGCAGCACAGGAAGCTGCCGCGTCTTGGCTGGCGCGCGCGCCACTAATGAAGAAATCATGCGCTATTGTCGCGCGCGTCCGCGCTGGCCCCTCCCCTCTTCCGCGGTGGCGGCCTATGGGATGAAAGGAAATGGGTGGGGGGGGGATGACGACCGAGGAATCTGTCGCCTTGTCTAGCCTCGATCTTGGCTCATCCATCAGGCGGCTCTAAATGAGTGCTGGCGACGCTGACAGCTCATGTCAGGGGTCCTTCATATCCCACAGGAAAAACCCCGCTGTAGCGTGCCCACGCGCGCATCTCCCCATCGGTGCCTTTTGTAAGCAGGGGGGGGGGGCGGGGGGACACGCACTGCTGGCCAGGCTAAAGAAGGAGGAGGAAGAAGAAGACCAAGAAGAACGGGGAGACACAGAGACAGAGGGAGGGTGGAAAACAAAAAAAAATCCTTCCGCTGCAATTGGGTGCTGCGTCGAATGGACACGACGGCGTTCCGCTCTACGGACGAGTATTTGTTTGTGTTGGGCGACAGACCGAAGATGAAATGCCGACCGGCCTGGGATGGTTCGGAAATGATGCCTTTCAATCAACAGCGGTTCGTCTTGGGAAATGCTACGTGTATATTACTGCTTCGATAAAGCACTTGCATCCACCGCATCTTTATGGAACGAATAGATTAGGCTGCATGCAAGGGTTCAATTTAGGCTGGTTCGGCAACCGTGAAAATATTACTCGACCCAGTATACCACATCTAGTATATCCCACTTGCTATGGATGGAGCTACCAGTCACGTGACTACTCCAGTCTACCAGTGACCCGGAAAATATTCAGTCAGAAATGAAGTTCCTGCTTTATGCTTAAATTTATGATTTTTATATAAAATGTATACAAGACCAAGATCCCCCGTATAGCCTTAACAGACTTTTGGGCCAAGTGCTTTTCGCGAGCACCTATGAAGGCCAGTACCAGACCTGGCCACATTTATCTCCCTAGTGGCGATATTTACACACCGCACCACATTTAAACTGTTTAAACAAATTTTGTTTGATCAAGTAAGGCACACTGAGCTATATAGCTCGTTTTCAGAAGCGACTGGCCACAAATGATAGCTCAACAAAGTAGCTTATCGTGTGGAAATGTATCGCAGCCAAATATTCTATTTAGTTTATACATAGCACCAGGTACTCGTTTTAGGCTGAGTCTCCCTAGGGGAGGCCCAGGACCGGTTCAGATAATCGTCACTGGTGTTGGCCATGAGCGGCAATCGAACTTGGGTCGCCAGGTTTGTAGCGCAACGTACTAATCGCTCCCCACAAAATTTATACACACGTGCAAAACATGTTAATCAAATTAAAAGAAATCACATAATAGTTCTTTATTTTTAGTTGTCTAAGGTGACAACTGAGGTTCAGTGTCGCCTGGCAGCCCGTCCATGGCCAACCTACAATGCTGCATGTCCCTGGCGAATCTAAATTATTCCAATGTTATACTAAACCTATGAACAACAATGATCATCATGAGTATTGCGGTGGCATCAGTTTGACTTTGGTCACGATGACATCTCAATCATTCCATTGAGTATTTAAATACTACGCCTGCAAATTGCACAAAAAAAATCAACCATATACTTTATCAACTGATTTATCCACATCAACATTCCTCGTAACGAGCACACGGCCGCCGATCAAACCTCGCAACAACCACCGCTTGTTACGTTTTTTGTTTGTTTTAAAGCGCGTACGCTGCGTTTCGCGGGGGCCGCGCTGGAAGATGGATTTCCCCGGACTCTACCGCATTATCTCTCCGCTAGTTCCTACGCCACTCTAGCTGTCTTCCCAGCACGTGGAGGCGAGTCCATTTGTCTGTCCCATCACGGCACGGAAAAGGCCCAAGAACGGAGGGGGGGGGGGGGGGCCGTTTTCAGCACATGGCACCTGCCAAACTCGAGCGAGCCAAGAAAACAAACCGACAAAGGCTCCCCGAGCCGATCCATCTCTGTCAGGCGCCCAGTGAAAGGGCGCGCCGCGCAGAAAAACCGCGACAGGAGCGACGCGCATTGTGTTTTCACTACAAGCCATTAACTCGGAACAAGGCGGCGAGCGTACGAGTCACGGATTGACGGTGGCCGTCGATGAGAAGATGTATGTGGCGTGCGTGCGGCCCATTTTTAATCGGTCCCCGCTCGGCCATCGAGACTCGTTCGGGCAGCCATTACTCAAAGCGCTAATTCTTCAAGTTCACCTCGTGCATAGAAAACGGCGCCGGGCGCCGTTAAAATAAGGCATCGCCCCACTCATGCGGCGTGTCTTAATTTTTAATTCGCATTGCGTCAACACGTGTGCGTATTGTAAAAGAGTAAACACTTAAATACCTTAATCCTTTGCTCTTAAGCAAGGGCAGTTTTTTAGGAGTTCATGGTTTCAAGTACACGATTTTATGGTGTATAAGACGTACTTTTCTGCCCCCTGTATTTAACGCAAAAGTCAGGGGTGAGAGTTATAATCTGGTACGTGTGTATGTGCGTGCGTGGCCAGATGCGTAGAGGTTAATTGACACCAGGCACAAGTTTGGTGTGCATATTACTCTCTCGAGCGTCTAATCATCCGGAGATTACGATGAAATGTTACATTGCAAAGTAGGCCTGATTAATTGAAATATCGACTACTCTTTATTTTAAATGCCTTGGTATTAAGTTATATTTAATGCACAAGATTTACAGTGCTTTAAACTCATGGAATAACTCAGAAGGATCATGACTTGCAAATACATCCAAAGCAACAGTTACATTTCATATAAATAAAACACTGTACCTTGTTATTGGGGGGGTGAATATAAACACACGCACACGCACGGACAACCTTTATTCTTCATGCACCTCCTTTGAAAACAACTCAACACTCGCCAGAGCTCTGACGGACAACATTTCTGACCTCGCATGCAGTCCCCCCCCCCCTTCATTGTGAGCGGCCTTGTGCAAATATTTGGAAATTGTTTTTCTCCTTTCAAATCGAATGGAGGGGTTGGGGGGACGACAACTACGACACTTCCCTGAATCAACAGGGCTAACACCCAGCAGCCAGCTACCCCGCTGCTGTCACAACAAGCGAGTGACAGCTCTTTGCTGCCGCCTGCGCAATCGACGACACAGGCTCGGCTGGCCGTGCGCAAGAAAAAAAAACTCGGAGAACGCACGCGGCGCGGACACGTGACGATGACAGATATATATATTTTTTTGGCGCTTGCGAAGATTTTGTTTGTTCTACAATATTCCGATTTCAGAGCGTGCGGCCCCACAGCACCTGCATTTGTGCTTCTTCTTGCGACTGAGCGACATCACAGGGTTTATCGCCGATATTCACTTCTCAGAAGGCGGAATATTTTTGCGAAATTACCTGCGGGCAGTCCCCTGGGTGTTGACGCCAATCAAAATCACAGGCTCTGTGCAAGCCGGCCAAAAAGAAAATTAGGCCACAAACAGCCTCTAGATATGAACCATAATTACCACTGGAACTACACGATGAATAATAATTTAGAGCCCTTTGTTAATCCATGCTCTGTTGGTCATGGAGGTTGTTTTGAGCATACTTCACTACCCTGGTCAGTGTGCTGGCCTGGAATTGAACTCAAGTCACCGGATTTTTGGTGCAGTGCGCTAACTACTGAGCTGCAATTTCACCCCGGGATGCAATTAATATCAAACTCAAAATTAAGCAATATCACGTGGAATGATTTAAAGTACCCTTAGATTGCACAAACAATATACATTTAAGGGATTATAAACCAAACCTAATGCTACAATGTATTTTTTTAAATTTTCATGAAAAAAAACTACTTCTGTTACTTAATGTTGTGTATTAATGTAATATGTCTCTGCAATGCTTAAAAATTACAATCCTGCATGACATTTTTCACCCTTTGTATCTTAGGCGAATGTATTGCTTTCGTGTCAAGATGCCTTCGCCTGCATTTAAATAAAGAACACAGCGGATAAGGATATGATGTTTCACACCCCAAGAAATTCGATGAATGGTTAAAATTCAGAGTCAATTCAAAAATGTATTCGTAACATTTGTACCGCCTCGTTTGTATAATTCAGCATTACTTTTAACGTCTCATTTCAGAGTTCTGTTCACACCATTCGCCTAATTTCAACATCGGCCTACGACTTGGATATTGTTTTGATGATTTATAAACGACCGATTCTCACGCGCAATTTTCAACGCATGTGTCGTGGAGTACAACGTGTTTCGCCACTACTTGCCTCGGTCATTGAAACTCCCCGCCGAGTACTCGGGAACTGAACGACCGAAGCTACTCCACGCTCTGCTATTTTGAGCTCTGCGATTACAATCATATAAAACATCCTCCTGGCGGTTACATTTACAACCCTATCCGTCCATCTTGGTCTCCGTCTACCTCTGTTCCTCTTTCCTTACGCTTTACCAACCGTGACGCATGCTACTCGGGTATTCGCCATCATCACGCCAGGCTAGGAGTCCAAAACACTTTAGTGTCCCTCTTCTCTATCACACGCTTAGTTCACACTCGCGCACCTACCCACCCACAGCTCAGTCGCAGGCCAAGACACTGCTCCAGCGAGAGGAAGCGCGAGGCTGAGGGTGGGAGGGTGGGTGGGGGGGGTATGGGCTGGGTGACACTCACTTGTCTCAGGTCGATGAACGCCAGCTGGAGGGTGTCTCCCTGCAGGCCTGGCACTGGCTCGGAGCTGGCAAACACTGTGGGAACCACAGGGACAAACCTGCGTGTGAGACACACCGCCGCCGCAGCAGCAGCAACACACCCGCACGGGCGGCACGGGCGACCTTCAGCGCCACGACCGGCCACTGGTTCAAACGCTGCTTACGAATTCCCTCTTCTTCGCGCGAGTGAACCGGTACAATGCACGCGTACGTGTGTGCGTGTGCGTGCATACATTTTCCATCAAATGTGCAGTGAGATGCAACAAAAGTTTGTTATTTGGCATTTTGCACGCTGCTGAAGTTCAACGGTTTTTGAGTGTGCGGGCGCAGCTTGTGCCTGCGCGCTCGAATGCATTCCCACGCTTTGTCAGTGAACATTGGATATTGAAGATTAAATAAGATCAAAACATCAAGGACTTGTGTTGGCATGGCTGTAAAAGTACAAACATATGTTTATAAATAAACAAAATAAAAATTCTCCAAGTTCATTATTCGCATTGATCCGCCCTCTACTGGACACCTGTGAAAAAGAGCTTCACAGCTCTTCAGATTCCTCCAGTCTAAATAAAGAGTACGATTCAGATATTAACTGCGACCGAAACACATATTGCAGGCTTATGCTTGTAGGACAGCGTGAATGGTGAATACGAATGACATCGGTTTTGCCCTTTTCATTTTTTTGTTCATCATTATGACGATGATGATCATCATCATCAGCCATTGCCTATCCACAGCTGGGTGAAGGCCTCGGGGCAAGCAGTCCCCCCCCGTCCCCAGTGAAGACGCGAGATTAATCAATGAATCCAACTCCCGCTCACGAGCCGATCTCATCGTTCCATCTCCGCAGCAGACGCAACCTCGCGGCGGCGTTCACTCCTGAAGACCGCCGGGACACTGCTCCTTCCAATCCCCAAGTTCAACCCGAGCCAACGTACTTTTGTTAACGGACAATTCGATCCATGTACCAGTTGGAATGTTTCTTCATTGAGGCTCAAAAGGTTGCTTCCAATAAACAAATGTAACTTGCCAAACTCACTGCGACCTGCTTTTTACTGCCTCTTAGTTTCATTATTTCGATTCTCTCCACTGTATTTTGTTGTGGTTTTCAGATGTGCCTCCCCAACAATCATTTTATTTTACTTTGGGAACTTATTTTATTTGCGCAATAACATTGCAGAAAAGACAAATGAATATCTGATATCGTATATACGTCTGGCTTTTGCAGACTACGAAAATGGTTTTGATTCTGTGGAAAGTCATGCAGTAATCCAGGCTCTCAAAAATACGCAAAAAGTTATCATAGCAATTTACAAAGGTGAAGCATCTATACTGAGATTCTATGTAGAAAGTACAGACTAAAGCTAGAAGCGAAGTCAACTAAAGAGATGCACTTCACACTGTGACTATTCAGTTGTACGAGCACATATATAAATCTAAATGAAAAAAAACATTAAACACCACGGATTTTTTTTCATGACAGAGTCTTCATAACCACAAAATGTAAATTAACTATGGGAAACGATGCATTAACTTAATGAATAATGCAAAGGTGAGTTACAAATAAATAGAAGCGACTCAAAAGTATACAACATCATAATTTATCATCGTCAGCCATGGTCAACTACTCCACTGCAGGATGAAGGCCTCCCCAAATCATAACATGTCGCAAAACGTATTCATGACATAAAAGCAGTCATATGCATATATGAGTATTACTCGCATATACACCAGCACACACATGTATATACACACATGCATTTGTGTTAAATGACAAGACTTGTACGCCAAATTACACGCCATTCGAATGAAACGTTGCCAAACGATCACTCCCTGCTGGGTCACGTGCCGTTACCCTCTAAGGCAGAATGAGTTCAGCGACAAGCACACGGCGGCGGCTGCCACTGCCGCCGCCGCCCCAACGCCCCGGCTGAAATGGAGCGCGGATGCCAGCGCGCGCCAGCCAGGGGCTCAGCGCGGAGGGCTCAGCAGCCGGACAGGTGCTGGCTTTGTGCGACTGGAATGTAGACGCGGATTGGAGGTGCGGAGCAGGGGTTGGTGGAGGTCAAGGGGGTCACATGGGCCGGGATTAGGCCACGGGGAGATGGCGGAGAGCGAGCGGGCAGGAGGGTTTGGGACAGACGGGGCGAGGGTCGCGCGAAGGAGCAGTACACACGAGAAACTACTGATGTACGCGTGTCTATGCGTGCGCACATGAGCGCGCGTATATACACACACACACACACGTGCACACATACAAATAACCGTCAAAAAGTTTTGAGATTGGAATATGAATGTGGTATTAAACTCGCATGCATGATTATTCATGTATCCATGAACAAGACTAGAATTACTGTTACATACGTTAATATTGTATGACTAATTGATACCATGTCAAACTACAGATATTTTTTTTTCTACTGAAAACCAGCGTGTAAATAACATGTGTGTGTGTAAATAGAGCTGCGCTGTGTAATGTTCTCACATCTATACTCCCCATCTTCAGCAACCGGCACTGACCAACGTGGTGAAGTATGATCAAATAAACCCCATGACCCACACGGCACGGAGAGGCCTTGATTCAAGGGTTCTATGCAAGTATATGTACATCTTTTTAAACTAAAACTAAACTACGTTTTTTTTGTACCAGGTAAGAGTTACCTCTGTTTATAACTAGGTAACAGCCCAACGAGAACACCCACGAGCAGGTGGGTTGCCAGCACGATGCCCGGTCGACCTTTGTCTACCTCCTCGTGATGTATACACACCGCACCAGGTACTCATTTGAGGCTGAATCAACCTAATGGAGGCCCAGGACCGGTTCAGATAATCATCACTGGTGTTGGTGACCATGAGCGGGAATCGAACTCGGGTCGCCGGGTTTGCAGCGCTGCGCGCTAACCGCTACACTACCTGCTGTCTACGTGTACACAAAGCAAAGACAACTTTCCCCCGTATAGCCTCAACAGACTGTTGGGGCAAGTGCTGTTAGCAAGCACCTATGAAGGCCGGCACGGCACACGAGGGGATGGGTGGCCAATACCACGCTCGGCCGCCTTTGTCTCCCCAGTGGCGATGTATACACATCGCACCAGGTACTCATTTGAGGCTGAGTCGACCTTGGGGAAGCTGCGCGAACACACACACATACGCGCGCAGTGGTCAAAAACGTCTATCGCCGCGCGCGTTCACTTTGCTGCCCACTTACATCAAGCGAGGAACAGCTGCTGTTCGCTTTTACAAAGCGCCCCACATCAGGCGTATCGGATATAACCTAAAGTGCAATGATTGATTGTATTCCTCGCGATGCAAATTCAATCCGCCCGCCGCACTTGACGCGGGCGTTCTGGAAAGTCCGGCTCGTTCTGGCGGGGCGGCAGGAATGCGAGCGCCCGCATTGAAGCGAGCGAAACGCTCGCTGTAGCGACGCTACAGGCAGACAGAGATGAAAAGCGTGTCCGTTAATTAATTACTAAAACTATATAAATTATATGTATCCAAGTGCTGCCCACTGAGCTGCATAGCTATTTTTTCAGAAGCGACCTGGCGCCAGGTGATAGCTCAACGGACATCTTAGCATCTGTTTTATTGCCAGAGGGGGTAAAAGCCGATTCTTATAGTTTTCATCAACGAAGTGGGTTATCACGTGGAAATGTATAGCATCCAAATACTATTAAACGCAAGTTGATTCTAAATGTGGAGGGGAAAACCGGAGCACACGGAGAAAAATCCACGCGACCACGGGGAGAATGTGCAAACTCCAAATGTGCAGGCGTCAGAGTCGGGATCGAACCCACAACCTCCTGTATACCAGGCGAGATGGAAAATAAATTGATGAACGCCGTTCCCCTCCTGCGCAAAGATGACTGCAAGATCTAAACGAGAGCAGCTCAACTTGGCGATGGTAAGACAGATTAATGCGTTAAGATTTTTGGGGTGCGCGCACGGAATGCAACTCGTTTGTATACATTAGGAGGAGAGGATCGATGGCCACTGTATGAACAACTCAAAGCGAGTATATTGTGTATGTGAGAAAACACACTATAAGGGGAAAATGGGTGCAGGCTGGAAACACACTGATATAAATTAAACAAATTTTGTTTAACTTTATCAGGTAAAGCCCACTGAGCTATATAGCTCTTTTCAGAAGCGATCTGGCCACAAATGATAGCTCAACAAATTGGCTTCTCACGTGGAAATTTAAAGCAACCAAATACTCAACAACACACAAGAGGTGTGGCTGCTCACAATGAGCGGGAAGGCGCGGAAACTCCCGTCACGTGATCACCACGTTACATGTGGAACGCTCTCAGCCTTGCCTAGACCACCAACTAAAAAGAGTAGAAAAAAATCAGCCATCGCAAGAGGCAGCAGTGAAACAAAAACAACTGCATACTGGTTTTGTCCTCGTGAGAAGTCATCAGTGCAGTGGTAATCAATGTCACCCCATGCCTCTGGGAGCCCATATGTGGAGAGCTTATCTCGACACTGCTGGGTCGCACATGAGCACTTTCCTTAAGGTAACGATAAATCAAACCCCACACATAAATAATGAGACAAACCGCAAGCTAAATAAACACATCTCAATTCATAAGAAAAAAGATATTACGGCAAAATACTTTGTTATTAAAGTTGCTATTATTATATTTCGTGGTCAATGCCTGAATTAGCTGGAAAGATATAACTTGAATTACATTGTAATGCATTTTCAGTGTTTCCGTAATGACTAAATAAATACGCCTTTCACGTCTAATAAAACTAAACATTGTCAGCATTTTATACACGTGTGCGCCGATTTATCTCAGCAAAAGGGAAAAAAATACTTCCAGCAAACATGTGGCTGACATTAAGGGAAGGATATCATCCATTTTATGTTTTTTTTTTTCCCGAACTAAGAAAATGAAATCCCCTGAACAATTTCAACAGGCAAAGGGGGGCCATTACAGCAAAAATCCCAGGACCAAAGTTCAGCCTGGGGTCACAGCAGCAGCACTGCGATGACTCGCAAGCGATACACAACTACAGCGAGCCAGCCAGGC